TTTTTCTTGGATCTTGATGCTACTTAGCTTAGCTCCCTTTGCATCCGTGAACTATTAGTACCCTTTCCCTAATTATTATTAATGTGCCAATTTGTCGATTTTGTCAACTTGGAACATGAATCACTTACTTGCAAAGTTAATACTTTCTTGATGTTTTAACTTGAAAACAGTTACTTTGTTATTAATCCATTATCTTGTTCTGCTTTAGAATAATCATCTCCATTGCAATTTATTGTCCTCTGTTACAGATGTACACGCCTTATTAGTGCCTCTATAGATGAAGAGGCTTCTGCCAGAGCAGCTGCAGCCAGTGTAGATAGCGGAGGACCCACTATGTAAGATATTTTTCCATACTGTGTTCAGTAATAGTTCATTTGATGAGATAAACCATCATTCTAAGCTCACTATGAATATGTGTTAACTTTGTTTATGTAATATCGTGGCACAGACAGCTTAATATGTTAAGTCTTTTCTATCAGATTTGACAAGATTATAGCAAAGGAAATTCCTTCAACAATCGTCTATGAGGATGAGAAAGTGTTGGCTTTCCGGGATATTAATCCACAGGCTCCTGTTCATGTTGTACTTATCCCCAAGTTAAGGGATGGATTAACTCAACTAGGAAAGGTATACTGTAATTCATCTTCTCATCTATTAACTGATATGTTAATTTGGTAGAATGAAACTAGTGCTCATCATCCCTTGTGCAAATTTTATGAAAATGAAATTAACGTGACTGGTAACGTGACTGGGCATGCTCATTTTTTGACATTCATGTTCATGTTAAACCTTATTCATGAAGATGGACTGGACGGCTATATCGTGTACTTCTATGTCCTATTTGGTTAGCTTGTCTCATTGATAGAATTGTAAATTTTCTAATGTGTACTTGATAATTGTAACCATTTTGAAAGCAGGATTTTGTCAAAAACCCATTTCACAAGAAAAGCAAACATCTGTATGTGAATTACCATATACATAAATGCAACCCTTAGTGTTGTTCAAAACATTTTTTTTTCATTTCAAATGTGAAGGTGCGCTATGGTGCGGAGTGGTGTAATGAGAACAATATTTTTCTTAAAATTTTCGTATGGACACAAAAAAGGTTTACTTCGTACCAAGTTGGTAGGGGCCAAATATTGTAGTCTCTATATCCGTTTCTTTTAAATGCCACAAGAATGGATAGGAGTCATAAGGTCTCCGAGGTCACATTCTACTTTAGTTACACTATATAGATTATTATAGTAACACGCACGCAAATAAAGAACACAGTACACTAGTCAGTTTGATGATCCCATTTGGTTAAGGCCATAATCACAAGTGCCTGTTGATTTCAGCCTGCCTGCCATCTTTGTTTCTTAGACGAAGTTTCTCTCAACCTTAACTGATGAAAATTTATCTCACATAAAGAGCTGAGGGATAGCAAAAGGGAGAGCTGAGGGATAGCAAAAGGGATTGACAGTTATCTAAGTTGTCAAAATTTATATTTTTATGTCTTAGGCAGTTAATAAGTTGCAAGAAAGCTTCCGCCTTTTGGATACTAACATCTCCCTTAATAGAAATACTCGCCAAAGATTCTGTAGTGCAATCTCAACTGCTTGGATGCAGCCTAATGGTTATGTTCTGGTTCGATTTGCTAGATTCAGTAACTATTTATTTTCATTATTTTATTGCCTAGTCAACTTGATAAGCATCCAGTTAAGCTGTTGAAGCCTAAGTAGTTAGCTGCATATTCCTATGTTCTGGAGTTTATCTATGGAGAAGTCTACTGTCTATTGGTTATCTTGTGTTACATTGAAAGGTCAGGTCCGAAAGGTGCTACTGCATATGCCTACCGAGTGTATATTTCTTAATGGAAGGCCAGTTTTCCCCACCTTTTCTTCGCCTCTTTCGTTTTATTCTTTCGTCTTAAGACTCTTCTACTGTATGCAAACTCTGAAGTTGTAACGTGAGTTTATGATTTAAAGTTGTGGGGTGCTTCAACATGTCGATGGTCCTTTTCATGGGCTAAAAGTACAACATAGTTACTTTACAGTATGGCACTTTTTCCCCCTTTTAACTCCACTTTAAATGTGCATTGGCATGATTCGAAGAATATAAATCTTATTAGAACATTTGCGTTCATGGTGTTTTGAATCACAAGGAGGCAGTTGAAAACTCTGTAACTCTACTCTCCTCATGAATGACTCAGAACAGCCTGCTTGTATGCAAGGTATTCTAATAAAAATTTCACTTCAATTTGAGCATGAGTTACTTTGATCTTCAGGTCTGTTTCAGTAACCAAAACCATGAAACTGTGGTGAGAATTAAGGGGTCATAAGTTTGTAGTCGATGGGAAACTCATCGTTATTTATTTTTATTCGGTCCAAGGGGGGCCTTTAATGTATAAAATTTAATGTGCTTATCTCATCATTCAGGCTGAACCAAGGCACAGCGTGATACTCGGTCACCTTCTCTACACTGCAAAAGTAGTTGCAGAAAAGGAAGGCATATTGGATGGATTTCGTGTAGTTATCAACAATGGACCTGGTGGATGTAAGCTCTCATTCATACTAGCTTGCTTTCACTCATGTTTTAAATTGCAACTGTTTCTGTTCTCTGTTTGACGTTTGATATCTTATGCTAACTCAGGTCAATCAGTCTATCACCTTCACTTGCATATACTTGGCGGCAGGCAGATGAAATGGCCTCCTGGCTAAATGTCCTTTTGTTTTTTTTGTTAACCAAGTTGGTTTATGTGTTGTTTTCATTCCTCTCTTATCTAGTGTGTGAACCTTCTAATTTCACTTATTTGCAATAAGCCACTTTTAAGCATGGCATCCCTTTTTTTTAGGAATAAATATGGCACTTGATAAAAGTAAATTTTATTAAAAAAGGTCACTTTTAAATATGGCACTATTTCTTGGAATAAATATGGCGTTTGATAAAAGTAAAATTTAGCTTAAAAATTTGATATAGATTATAAATAAAAAATAAAATAAGAACGCCGTCTGTGGGAATCGAACCCACGACCACACGGTTAAAAGCCGTGCGCTCTACCGGCTGAGCTAAGACGGCTGGCTGGTGTATGTATCATTTTATCTAGCTAGAATTATAAAATAGTGACATAATGATAGCTGTTGCTCTCATGCGGGTAAAAATATTTTTTCATATTAGTGTTTAGGAATCTCTCCAATTAGATGGTATTTGGAGAGTGTTTAATTCCTCTAATATTTATTATATATTTTTAAATCAAAAGACGAGATAATACCACATCGGATTACTACAATTAAACTAGTGGTTTGTAAAACCACCATGATGAATTTTGTAATATTATATAATTTTTAATAAATTCAAATATTTCTACAAACAACTTTCTAATTAACCTCTCCAATTAGATATCAACAAAACAATTCTCTCTCAAAATTGAATTATTTACAGTTATTTTTTATTTATTTATGATTCTTATAATCATGCATTTTTTTGTCAATGTGCGTACAGGAATACTTAGGGACGTGATCCGACAGGAACACTCATCAGATTTTTTAATGTATATATTTATTATTATTTTTTATTATGCATCAAATTTTAATTTCTTAAACTTTCTATTTGTTGGTTATTGACTTTGCGTGAATATGAATTGCTAAAAGAAATATTGAATTAGAAACGAGCGATGCATATAATTAACTAATGATTAGAAATAAAGACACTTGGAACATGATTTGTTAAAAATTAAATGATATCCACCGAATCCACAATGGTAGTTTTCAAAACCACAAGTTTAATTGTGGCAATCCCATGCGGCATTATCTTATCTATTAAATTAGAGATAAATGGCGGGGTTAGAGGAATTGGACCCTCTCCAATTACCGTCTAATTAGAGAGGATCTGCAATCGTGTGGTTATATATATATATTGAACCAATTGATACATATACATAATTATTAGTATTTATATAATATATATATATATCTTGTACAAATTGATACATTCACTACGAGCTCTATAAATTTAGTTCTAATACGCAACACACTTACTTTTAGTGTAAATTTCAATTATAATGTTGAGATACCAATTTCTTATTTTAAATGAGATAGGGGAGGAGACTAAGAGGGTGTTTGGGAAAACTTATTTTTTGGTCAAACTAGCTTTTAAGTTAGCTTTTTTTATTTCTATACCTATTTGATAAAATACCAAAAAAGTTAACTTATAAGTCCCATTTTAAAAAGCTGATATACCCTGGTTTTTAAAAAAACTAGTTTGTCGACTCACCTAAATAACCTAAACTTGACCAAATAAATTACTGTTCTATCCAAATAATTTTTATAGCATTTTTATCATAAAAGCCAAAAGTCACTAAACATTAGCATAATTTATAAGGTTCAAAAAATAAGCCTTACCCAACCCCCTCTAAATTACTTTCATGTGAGGATGAAACTGATATTAATTTACCATAAGTTCATGGAGTACATCCATAATTTAAAAATGGGCTAAATTGCTCTTAAATACCTTAAAGTTTCCCTTGTTTGGCACTTAAATACCATGAGTCGCATTTTGCAACACTTAAACATCCTAAGGTCTCGTTCGGTAGAGGTTAAAGAATAAAGGGTTAAACTTTAACATGATAATCATTATCCTAGAAAAGTTAGCAAGGATGAAGTTGTTTATATTCTTGTGTTTTTGGTATGACCTATTAACCCAAAAAAGGGAAAATCTTTTTTTAACCCAAAGTTTTACTTCAACTTATTTTTAAACCCATCTTCTTTCATTATGATCCATACACCCAAAATACAACACCCACTTATTTATAAACCCAAAGTATCACTTATTTATAAACCCAAAGTATCAAATACACCATATTTCTGGTGCTCCTCCCACTCAAAAAAACCCTAAAACACTCAAAAACACTCGACTACTGACGCATCGTGTTTATTGGCCGATTATCCACCGCGTCGGGCTGTCCTCGTTGAATTTCGAAGCTTCAGGCAAAGTATAGCACTTTACGGGAAAGTATAGCACCTTATGACCAAAGTATAGCACCTTATGGCAAAGTATAGCACCTTATAGGCAAAGTATAGCACCTTAAGGTCAAAGTATAGCACCTTATGCTCTCTAAAAATTCTGCACATCAAGTTGTCGAGAACCATTTTAGTTTTTTTCCCCGCAACGAAAACATTCGACGATCGACGCATCGTATTTATTGGCCAATCATCTACCGCGTCGGGCGGTCCTCGCTGAATTTCGAAACTTCAGGCAAAGTATAGCACTTTATAGGGAAATATAGCACCTTATGACCAAAGTATAGCACATTATGGCAAAATATAGTACCTTATGGCAAAATATAGCACCTTATAGGCAAAGTATAGCACCTTATACCCAAATTATAGCACCTTATCTCTCAGGCGGTCCTCGCTAAATTTCAAAGCTGCAGAATTTTCAGAGAGCATAAGGTGCTATACTTTGGGCATAAGGTGCTATACTTTTCCCATAAGGTGCTATACTTTGTCATAAGGTGCTATACTTTGGCCATAAAGTGCTATACTTTCCCGTAAAGTGCTATACTTTGCCTGAAGCTTCGAAATTCAGCGAGGACCGCCCGACGCGGTAGATGATTGGCCAATAAATACGATGCGTCGAATGTTTTCGTTGCGGGGAAAAAAACTAAAATGGTTCTCGACAACTTGATGTGCAGAATTTTTAGAGAGCATAAGGTGCTATACTTTGACCTTAAGGTGCTATACTTTGCCCATAAGGTGCTATACTTTATCATAAGGTGCTATATTTTGGCCATAAGGTGCTATACTTTCCCGTAAAGTGCTATACTTTGCCTGAAGCTTCGAAATTCAACGAGGACGGCCCGACGTGGTGGATAATCGGCCAATAAACACGATGCGTCAGTAGTCGAGTGTTTTTGAGTGTTTTAGGGGTTTTTTGAGTGGGAGGAGCATCAAAAATATGGTGTATTTGATACTTTGGGTTTATAAATAAGTGATACTTTGGGTTTATAAATAAGTGGGTGTTGTATTTTGGGTGTATGGATCATAATGAAAGAAGGTGGGTTTAAAAATAAGTTGGAGTAAAACTTTGGGTTAAAAGAAGATTTTCCCTAAAAAAAAATGTAACGTTAACATGTTGACTTTTAACCTTGTTTTGTGTTAACTTATAAAAAAGGATTACATTTAACCCTGATATCTTTTATTTTCAAATTGTCCTTTACTATTGCTTCATCTGATAATCCTATTGAAAACCAACTTTTTGCTGCAAAACGAAAACCAAAACTGTATTATTCATCAACTTTATTTTCACAAGGAGGTGATCAGTGATGGGCCTGAGCCAGTATTTTCATTAAAAATGGATTAAGAAAACAATGGAAGTAAAGATGCAATCAGCTACAAAGTAAATGCTTGATGTTACACAACTAAATCACTGGATTCAAAATTTTCAACAAGCAAATAGACTGAACATAAGCATACGTTTCATTTTGCATTACAAACAAACCAACGAAACACATAATCTTTGGTGCATAGACCTTATCGCACGAAATGATTTACTAGAAATAGAGTGAAAATGAACCCCTCTGTTCTATTGAAAGAAATGTATGAGATGTACAAGAGAGGGGAAAAAACCTAAAATATACCGCGATAAACTAAAAGATCACAGACCCCTCAAGGAAACAAGAACTACTCAAGTAACAATGTACGATAACCACTCAAGTCACACTATAGAAATTAGAAATATTCTCAAAACTCAATAGTAGAAACAACCACAACAAATATATCATAGTATAATCCAGAATAAACTCCGCATATACAGCATATTAAGCCTCTTGCTGATCAAAATCATAGCTGCAGTTTGCTCAAAGGTAAACCACAAATTGTATTTTTTAGATACCGATCATTCATAACAAGATCTACTCAAACAAACCATCAAGTGAAGTTGATCACCATACTCACCCTCTCATCACCAATCACCTAAACAAAGTGTTAGTAGTTGTTTGTAAAAAAAAAAACAAAATAATGTTAGCATTTTCTTAAGGAAAAGGCAATTGTGAATAGTCCCACATTGGAAGTTGAAGAGAAGTTCAAGTGGTTTATAATGGTTCACTTCCTAATGGGCTTTGAGTAATGTTTTGGGCCTACTAGTGTTTGAGCTCTTTCTCCACACACGCGCGCGCGCACGCACGCCTCGCCTCGCCACGCCACGACGCGCGCGCCACGCTACGCCGCACCGCACTCGGGTTTTGCGTGATTTACGCCCAACGGACGAGGAGATTCAGCATCGGTTACTGGTTCATGAGGCTATATAAGGAGGCAGAGTTCATTCGGGAAAACACACAGAAATTCACAAAGAATTTCATAGCTCCCTCTTCCTCCTTCTGCTACTCTTAGTACTCAAAGATTTTCGGCTACATATTTTGAGGATTATTTTTGGGCAATCATCTTCATCTGAGCAGAAGCTCTGCTACTCGCGCCCGAGTAGAGAGGCCGGCCGTTTCCGGGGGGCTTTTACCGCTAGGGGGGAGGATCAACTACGCCAGGGCGACAGGCGGGTCCTCTATCTTCTAGGGCAGTGTATCACGACTGCACCCCGTTCAGGCCTGATTTTTCATAACTCATTTATTTTCAGTTAAACTAATTGTTTATTTTGTTAGCAATCTAGAAGATAGATTATTTATTGCTGTTAATTTAAATCTGAAAATAAATATATATTAAAAAAAAAAAAATTGTTACTGTTCACCCGAATTTCATATTTGTTTAACTGTTTTAATTTGGTAACCTTTTGCATCTAAGTAGTTAACAAATTATTTTACTGCAATAGTACTGAATTTTATATCTGTCAA